TATTTTATGCTTGTATTCAATGAGAGTGATGAGGGTAATCCTTCCCCGGTTGAGCCAACTCATTGTGCTGCAAATATAATATACTACAGCGTGACCTTACCACGTAGTAAAATTATAAATAAAAAACCCCCTTAATAAACAAAAAAATATTAAAATATAGTCAGCCGTTTCAGACGCATGGGTGATCACACGTAACAAACGTTCACGTTGAATATAGAACTTTCTCATTTATGAAATTCGGTTCAAAACAGGCAGCAGTATACATGAAAATGTTTTCTCATTTCCTTTGTTCCACTGTAGTGATAATTTAGGAGACACTTTCGTTCAAATATGTTGAAAAATATCGCCGCTCACCACATGCGCTTTTGCGGCCTATGCATGAACACATACTGTTTTTTTATTAAATTTGAGGAATGCTGTGAGAATAAAATAAAATTCTAAACGACTCGAATCTTTCTCCATGATTTTCAAAAATTTTCTAAGATGTGTAACTCTAAAACAATATTGTTTCATACTCAGATTAAAATTCAGTAGTCAATATTGCTTTGAAATTTATAAGAAAACATATTTTGTGAAGTTATGTACAATTTAAAATAAATCGATGTAAAAACCTTTCAAGTTGGAGCGCGACAGAACGATACGCGACAGAGCAGCAATATGTTCATTATCATAGTCATCGGTTCTGCGTTCACTAATCCAATTAAATAAATAGTTCCTCAAGTTATACAAGATTGTTGATGCATTCTTAAAAACGCAATGCTCAACGGTTGATTAGGAAGACTTAAAGAAGTGGGTGTTTACTAAAGACGGCTGATGGTACCGTGTCGCAGTGGTTTAGCAAAATGAATTTCAGCGATGAAGACTGTGGGTTCGAATCTCGCACAGAACAAGTATTTGTATGGCTTACAAATAATTGTTCCTGGACTGCATGATTATCCTTGTGCAATTTGTTTTTTCTTATTTGCCTCCAAGATATAGGAGAAAACCCTGTGCATCTTAGGAGTTAAGTGCTCGCCGTAAATATTTACAGTACAATAGGAATGTGAAAACAAAAACACACAATATGTTGTTGGCTTGCAACTTGTTTTTAAAAAGTAAACCTAACTTTCTCCTTATTTAATAAAAATATATTAAAATATCATTTAATACTAAAAATTTCTAATTTCCGGGTTAATTATGACATCAGGACGTCAAACGCCGCAGTCGCTCCGAGAACACGGGTGCTTTACTAGCTGTAAATGACACGAAACGACAGGAATAAAAAATAAGGCGATAAAATCCATAAAATTAGTTTTATTTAATGTGTAGGATTCCTGTAAATGTAAGAAATTATTATGTAAACATTTCCATTTACAATTATTAGGTTAAAGAGTAAGTTTAGTAACTACGAGAATCCGTTCCGTTTTGATTGCCTCCTATAAATATTAGGTTTTTATTTCCTCTCCCGTATAAACAGTAAATGTTCTAAGTGTGACTGACATAAATAAAACTTTAAAGAGAATTTGTAATGAAAATCAAAAGTGCCATTTCGTGGAATGTAAATACAGGAATACTTTTCAGTTATGTAATTCAATTATGTGATAGATTGCAATTGACTACGAAAATGAATATCTCAATCCCAAACAATTGAAAAAAATAACACGAAGTAGGGTAGCGCCTGAAAAGCTCCCTCTAAGCCCATAATTCACTCTCTCTTCTACCCAAGGTTAGCTGGTAGAGAATGCCATATAGCACTAAGCTCGCCTTTTGTACAAAATCTTTGGTGCAATAAAGGACGAAATAAATAAATAAATAAAATAATCAAACAGAATGATGAAATATAGTTTTATTTTTTTAGTTTAAAATGATAATGTTGAAATACTAGCAATATTTATGATTGTTAGATTCTATTCATCGCTTAAATTTCTGAATTAAAATCTTTACATATGTAAAGCAATAATTATTATATTATATATAATAATTTTGTAGGTTGCGGTCTTCAATAAAATATAAAATGTTATATATACAATCATTTATAAGATGTTATTGCTATAATAATAATCATTAATTCCTGGCGAGATCGGATGATCCATTCTATAATGACGTCATTTTTAGTGATAAAGGACTTACCCCTCTATCTTTAGCCCACGAGCAATGGCAGGACCCGGCAGTACAGAGCATTTCCGACCGGGAGACCGTATGGAAGGAGAAGGAGCTCCACGGGAGGTACTACAGGGCTCTACATGAGCCCCACGTAGATGCAGCCGCCTCCCTCAACTGGCTACGTTTCGGTGAACTCTTCGGGGAAACCGAGGATTTTGTCTGTGCAATACATCATCATCATCATCATCATCATTACAGCCCTTCACGCTGTAATGATGATGATGATGATGATGATAAGTCCACTGCTGAACATAGGCCTCCCCTAAGTAATGCCACAAAGCACGGTCCTGAGCCACCTGCATCCATCGAATTCCTGCATGTCTTACCAGGTCGTCACTCTATATAGTGGAGGGTCGCCCCACACTACGCCTACCGGTATGAGGCTGCCACTCGAGAACCTTTCTTCCCCATCGGTTATCGGTTCTTCGAGCCATATAGCCGGCCCATTGCCACTTCAGCTTACTAATCCGTTGGGCTATGTCGGTCACTCTGGTTTTACTGCGGATATCCTCATTTCTGAGTCTATCACGCAGAGAAACTCCGAGCATAGCCCTCTCCATAGCTCGCTGAGCGACCTTGAGCGTCCTCATACGGTCAGCAGTGAAGGACCACGTCTCTTATCCGTAAGTCATCACTGGCAACACGCACTGGTTGTACACTTTAAATAACAATAATAACAATAACACTGTGCAATACAGTTTCAGGTTATTAAGACCAACAACTATCGGAGATACATCCTAAAGGATGGCACTGTCGACGTCTGTCGAGCTTGTCCCCATCCCGGTGAGTCACTTAGGCATGTCATCTCCGGTTGCTCGGCGCTTTTTAACCCTGAGTACTTGCACAGGCACAACCTAGTAGCCAGAATTCTACACCAGGAGCTCGCTCTGTAATACGGTATCGTGGACCGGAAATTGCCGTATTACAAGTACTTACCGGAAGCCGTGCTCAAAAATGACCGAGCCAGGCTCTACTGGGACCGGGCCATCATCACGGACAGGACTATTCTTGCGAATAAGCCTGATATTGTGCTGATAGACCGGGCACAGTCAAGGATATTTTTGGTCGACATTACCATTCCGTATGACGAGAACCTCGTGAAAGCCGAAACAGATAAACGAACAAAATATCTGGACCTGGCTCACGAGGTGACCGACATGTGGGGTGATATGCCGGCCGAAATTATTCCTGTAGTCGTCTCTGCGAATGGACTAATTTCAGTCAGCCTCTCGGGTCATCTGAGGTGACTGGGACTCCGTGACGGACCGCTCCGGGCTTAAATGCAGATGGCGGTGCTCCTCGATACCGCCCGCATCGTCCGCCGGTTTCTTTCCCTTTCCTCCTAATCCTCGGCCGTTTGGTCTCCCCTGCCGAGGGCTTCCATCTGGTTGGGCTTTTATTTATTTATGTATTTTTGTATTTATTTTATTTTATTGATATTTATGTATATTTATCTTTTTATTTTAATTTATAATTATATATTTATAGAACCCAACCAGATGAGAAAACTATTATACAAACTATTATATCAAACTATTATATAGATACCCCACAAAAAAATAATATTAATAGTGTGTCACACTGTATAATAATAATAACAATCGGCTATAATAATAACATAATAATAATATATCTATTATTATTATGTTATTATTATAGCCGACCCCATCGCCCGCTGACGTAACGGTTATGTGACAAAACCGCTACGTCAGCGCAGTCAGTCAGCACCTTGCCAAGAGGTGTTAGTGCCGTGCGTCGGCAAAAATTGAAGGTGCGAAGGCCCGCTTGTGCACATGGCCTCACCATGAAACGGCGCCGGGTCTGGGTGTCTCCCGCTAAATGACGCCCTAAAAATGGATGGTGGAATTAAATAGAACGCGCAAAGGGCCGCTGCCTGGAGGTCGCCAGGGCGCGTCTGGAGCTGGCGCTGGACGCGACAGCATGCGAACCGCCAGCCGAGCGTGAGGTGCTGCACGACCACCCAGTCTCGCATCCATCATCCCCACCAGCTGGCTTGGTGTCGGCAGGGGCTTCGCGGGCCCAGCAATCGGCACCCGCCACTGGTGGAGTACGCCGCATGCATTGGACAACCCAGATGAACAGCAACGCATTGCGGGTGTATTTTAGGGCGAAAGGGGAAGAAACTGGAGGTTTTGCGTATCGGGCAAGGATGCATCGACTATTTGCTGAGCTGGAGCCATCTGTAACCGTCACCGAGCAAAACCTGGCAGACCGAGTTCGGTATATCTTGCGCTCAAATACATTTGATGTCACCGAACTCGAACGGCTACGACGTGAGGCTGATCCTTCATCGGGTGAAAATGCTGCGGCTGAGGATGCGTTGTGGTTGATTCAAACGATGATGGAACAGTCGACCAGGAACTGGAATTAGAGCAAATGAGGAGCACATTGGATGAGGCGATTGTGGAAACGCGCAGTACAATACTTTTTAAAATATTTCGGACATTCTTGGTATTAGATGTAGTTAGTTCATTCATGTAATCTATGTTAATTATTATTAGTCTATCAATGACGGTGTGAACGTCCGCACGTCACTTAATTCACAGGCCCATTGAAAACCAGCGCTGTAGTCTCGTATCGACTACGGCATTAAGCTGAGTGCGGTCTGTTTGCCGTGTACGCCACACACACATCTGTGCGTAAAATGTGCGATGTGTTTAATATGTAATGTGTTTTACTATATATTTTTTATATTTATGGTTTAAATGTACATGTGGCGTATTTGAGCAATAAATGTTTTCTTTCTTTCTTTCAGTACGCCTCTCGAAAATCGACCGCGACTTCCCCGCTTAGCCCTAAGCAAGCGGAATCGGGCTGTCGTGAGGGCTCTGAACCCAATGCTGGTTACCTATTTGGAAGCCAGCCGGGACCTTTGCGAGACGGACTCAATTCTTTTTGGCGCCTCACTGGCAGTCTGCCGTATTATAGGCGTCAAACTTTCCACGGCTGCACGCGCTACTGGACAAAGTAGTGCTATCCCAGCCTGGAGAATAAGAATTGAAGAACGTATCGCAAAGGCTAGAGCCCTCATCGGCAGACTGATATGTTTCAGGTCAGGCAATACCAGACCAAGGATTGTGTGCACCGTCAGGATGGCGTTTGCTGGGACAAATGTTAGTTTGTCCCAGCCGCATATAATGCAAAAACTGACGGAGCGTATAGACGACCTGAAGCAAAGAATCGCTGCTTGGGGAAAGCGGATTCGGCAATATACCGAGAGGTCGACACGGTTCAACCAGAATCGTCTCTTTCAGAGTGATCAGAAGAGGCTCTATAAATCATTAGAGCGACCAATAGTAAGTGGAACGGGCCCAGCACCAAATCAGGACGACATGGTCGCATTCTGGCGCAGCCTGTGGTCAGAGCCCGTGAATCACAACGAGGGCCCCTGGACGGAAGTTGTGGCGAGTCAGTGTGCGGGTATTACGCCCATGGACCCCGTCGTCATAACGCCGGATGACGTAGCTAAGGCGGTCCATAGGGCCCCGACCTGGAAAAGTCCGGGGCTTGACGGGCTGCATCACTACTGGCTGAAGGGGTTCATGGTTTGTCAAGCTATGCTCGCCCGACAGTTTCAAGAGGCTCTCAACCAGAAGTCGCTTCCAAGCCTCTTCACTACTGGGATCACTCATTTGGTTCCCAAAGATGAGGGTGCCACAGACCCGAGCGAATACCGCCCCATCACGTATCTACCGACTATATACAAGACACTAACATCCATTTTGAGCGCGAGAATCGCTCGTCACCTGGACTCAAATCAGGTGATGTCGCGCGCTCAAAATTGATGTCGGGGCGGCGGTCGTGGAACCAAGGAACCACTCCTCATTGACGCGGTCATTGGCAAAGTGGTGAAACGCAACTGTCGGAACTTCTCCGCCGCCTGGATAGATTACAGAAAGGCATTTGACTCGGTACCCCACATATGGCTAAAGAGGGTCCTCCAGCTGTACAAGATTGACTGTACAGTTCGAGACTTCCTCGAGCAGTGTATGGGGCAGTGGAGTACGATCCTCTGTCATCTAGGCGAGCGAATGACGGCTGCGGAAAGCAGCATAAGGATAAGAAGGGGTATATTCCAGGGCGACTGTCTGAGTCCAATCTGGATCTGCCTCTCTTTGAACCCTCTCAGTATTTTACTAGAGGGCTCCGGGAGGGAATTTCAGCTTCGGAAAGGAGGTACAAAAGTGACCCACCTTTTCTATATGAATGACCTCAAATTATTCGTCTCCAGTCGCTCCCATCTTATGGAATTGCTAAACATCACTTGTGAATTTAGCAGTTCTATTAGAATGGAGCTGGGGACGGATAAGTGTGCGGTCCTCCATGTTGAAAGGGGAAGGGTTGCTAACTCTGAGGGCATAGACTTATCTATGCCCGTCAACTTAAGGGCCCTTTCCGAGGCTGAAACATACCGATACCTGGGTATGTCACAGAACAGCGGTATCGATGAGGCTGGTATGAAACAGTCAGTTTGCGACGTGTTTTATGCACGCTTGACCAAAGTTCTCAACAGCCTTTTGTCCGGTGTGAATAAGACACATGCACATAACGGTTGGGTCATGCCTGTCGTAATGTATACCTTTGGCATACTCAGCTGAGGTCAGACTGAACTTAACGACCATGGATAGAAAAGTCCGCACTACAATGACGTCCCATAGGATGCATCATCCGAGATCGTCGGTAATGACGCTGTACTTGCCGCAAAAACATGGTGGACGTGGCTTCCTGAGCGCGCTCACCATCGCGAAGTGTGCAGCCTCCATCATTACTTACTGGCGAGATCGGATGATCCATTCTATAAGGACGTCATTTTTGTGATAAAGGACTTACCCCTCTATCCTTAGCTAACGAGCAATGGCAACACCCGGCAGTGGAGAGCATTTCCGACCGGGAGACCGTATGTAAGGAGATGGAGCTCCACGGGAGGTTCTATAAGGCTCTACATGAGCCTCACGTAGATACAGCCGCCTTCCTCAACTGGCTACGTTTCGGTGAACTCTTCGGGGAAACCGAGGGTTTTTTCTGTGCAATACAGGATCAGGTTATTAAGACCAACAACTATCGGAGATACATCCTAAAGGATGGCACTGTCGACGTCTGTCGAGCTTATCGCCATCCCGGGGAGTCACTTAGGCATGGCATACCCGGTTGTTCGGCGCTTTCTAACTCTGAGTACTTGCACAGGCACAACCTAGTAGCCAGAATTCTACACCAGGAGCTCGCTCTGAAATACGGTCTCGTGGACCGAAAATTTCCGTATTAAAAGTACTTGCCGGAAGCCGTGCTTGAAAATGACCGCGCCAGGCTCTGAAATAGGCAGTGGTCTGCCGACTGAAATTATTCCTGTAGTCGTTTTTGCAAACGGGCTAATCCCAGTCAGCCTCTAGGGTCATCTGAGGAGGCTGGGACTCCGTGACGGACCGCTCCAGGTTCAAATCCAGAAGGCGATTCTCCTCGATACCGCCCGCATTGTCCGCCGGTTTCTCTGCCTTTCCCCCTAACCCTCGGCCGTTTGGTCTCCCCTGCCGAGGGCCTCCATCTGGTTGGGCTTTTATTTATTTATGTTTTATTTATTTATTTGTACTGGGATATGAAATATATATTTACGTATATTTACCATTTCCTTTTATATATATTTATTCAGCCCAACCAGATGAGAATACACTACTAATACCTCAAAATAATAATAATAATAATTTCTTTATATGCTTAAAATATGATTTTTGTAGGCGGTACAGTAAAATAAGTTTACATGTTTTGCTTATAATTAGCATGCAAATTTAAGTTTATGTTACATACATTTCAGGTAAAATTTATTTCAAAAGGGTTAAAATATATTCATTAAAATTAATGTCAACAAATCAATAATTATTAATGCCTAATAACACACATTGCTAAACAACTTTTTCTGAATTTAGCAGATCTCGGAATGACAACACTAATCTATCCGGATTTCTTTTCCACCGAGAGGCTTTCTGGAAGAGCTCAGTATGACGTTGTACAAAACTCATTAAGATGCACACTACCCGTCTCAGTACATAGCCCCAAAAAAAATAAGAATACATTGATATACAAAAAAATAAATAGACAACTAGCTCAAAACAAATAACTATACATAAAGGCTGAACTTTTTCACATATGTTCGTATAGTTTTCTTTGGTATGTCAATAGACAACTTGTTCCAAAGAGAAAAGTTACTGTGAAAGAATTATAATTTATAGTACTGAAACAAAGTGTACGCAAAAAAGGATCACCATATGTGGGATTCCTGTATATATATATATATATATATATATATATATATATATATATATATATAAAAAAAAATATATTACTGAAATCTATAATACGTCTTAAAATCCCTTAACCCTCGTACCTCTCGGACGGCTAGCCCACCGGCGGGCCACGGCGTTGTCTCTATCAAGGCCGGCGGGCCCTCCTGGCCAACTCTATAATTTTTAAAGCCTTATAAGTTTTAAACTACGATATATTATCACATGTGCCATATATAAAACGATACAAACTACTCATTCATGCCAAAATCACATAGCTAAATCAATAGTCATTCAAATCAGATTTCATTCAAACCCTTTCGTCCTCGACATCGAGTGCGAAGTTAACTATAAAAAGTATTGTGTTTTGTTTGTGATCTACTGATTTGCATATTTTCTTTCAAAATGGGTAAGTATAAATATTATTGACATATGTTAGAAAAAAAAATTTACTATTGCAAATGTATATAAAAATTCAATATTTTATTTAGATAAATTACTTTTTTTACACTTACACGAAAAAAAACTATAAAAATAATTGTTAAATTTGCACTTAAATGTCATTTAAACAATATTTATATGTATAAAAACTCACGCCTATCCCCCAGAGGGATAGCAAAGAGTACGGACTTCCATTTGACACGATATTGACACATCTGTCTCGCTTCCTTTACATTCATATATCTACGCATACATGCTCGTCGGTTGAGGATACCTAATCTGACCCATTTTAATATATTGGAAATTTGTTTGATAATTTTTCGTCTACAGCCTCTCTTCCCGACTCTGCCGTTCACATCTGCGATATAGATTTTCTTTTTTTGCAGGAAATAGAGTAAATGAGGCCCTACACTCAATTGTGATAAAATGTGTCGAAAAAGGCACGTATGGCAATTCACAATGCTGTGTTGGTTCCTACTTTAACGTATGGTAGTGAAAGTTGGGTGTGGCAGAAGAAGCACGAGAGTAGAATCAACGCAGTAGAAATGCGGTCGTTAAGGAGTATGTTGGGGCTGAATCTAAATGAAAGGGTAAGTAATTGTGTGATAAGAGAAGAGTGTGGTTTGCAAGATGATGTTATGACCAGGATTAAGAAAGGAATGCTTTGGTGGTTTGGTCATGTGGAAAAAATGAATGAGGAAAAAGTGACAAGGAAAATTTATGTTGCAAAAGTGAATAGCAGAGTCGGAAAGGAACGTCCTAGGCGAAAATTTATCGACCAAATTGGCGATTTATTGAAAACGGGTCAAATTAGGAGTACTCTTAACCGACGAGCATGTGTGCGTAGGTGTATGGATGTGAAGAAGGCGAGAGAGGTGTGTCAGAATCGTGCCAAATTTAAGTCTGTAGTCTCTGCTTACGCCTCTAGGTGACAAGACAAGCGAGTGTTTATGTATGTATATGTATTTTCTTTGTCAAACTTTCTTCGTTCAATCTTTTTACATGACCATACCACCGAAGCATTTCTTTCTTAATCCTAGTCACAACATTATTTTGCAAACCACACTTTTGTCTTATCACACAATCTCTCAGTTCATCATTTGAAATAAAAAATATTAATTATATTTAACTTGCATTAGCCATATTTTTATCTTGGTGTATAGAAATGAGTTGTTTATATCAATTCTTTTACGAATCTGAAATTGGCATAGACCGTCAACCTCGCCTTGTAGTGGCGGTGTAAGTATATCCGCTACCCCATATCTATCACAAAGGCGTAGTAATTTTAGGCCAAAGGCCATTAAAATCTTTTTAAAAAGTCAATCTGTGTTTCTATTTGTACATATGAGTATCATAAGGTGCGACAAAGAGAAACTGAAACCGGTTGTATGTATGTGTTGTTGATTATTGTTAAATAAAAAAACTGCAGTTGCCGACCTGCTTGCTGAGCGTTTCAGCTATGGCAAAGTGCCCCTTTTAGTACAATCCTTGGGGGAATCATAAGGTCAGCAGTGGGTAGTGCATTACGCCCTTTTTGAAAATAATAAATGACTAACGTAGCAAAGTTATGTCAGAAAAACTTACTATCACATTCCTCGTTTTCTTTGGTAAACATGTTTAACTTGTAGGTACCAAAAATATTATTTAAATAGGTTCTTTTTTGCTGAGAAAAAACTAACTTTTTACACACATTTCATTTATTAAGCTGTAGGAAGTTAGACACGTTAAATGCTTTGAGAACTGTAAGAACAAAGCGATACATTTAGTGAAATGGCAGCGTCGCCATTGTCTCCCACAGCTCTTAGAGTTTCCACGTGACCTGGTAAGAAGGACGTAGCAACACTTGTTCATTTGTTCTAATCGCTGTATTTCAGTTTTGCCGAGCAAATAATATCGAATGTACTTGTTTTTTTTTTAATATATAGAATAAGGATGAGAAACGAGCACACAGTCCACCTGATATTAAGTAGATGCTGTGGCTCATAGACATCTACATTTATTTTGATTAAGAATCAAAATGCAGATGCGTTGCCAGCCCTGAGGACTGAGATGAATTGCCTAGTTTCCGGTAA